TAGCTAGGAAATGGGGAGACTGAGGGTTACAGCAGGCAGTCTTTCACACAGGAGACCTTGGAATGTTGATTACTGTTCTAATAGGCTGTGGGTGGTGGTGGTGGTGGCAGCATGCAAGGCAATGACTGACTCAACTCTAATGAGAAGGAAGAAGGTCCTTCGTGGTCGAGGTGCTACAGAACTTAGACCCACTCATTGTTATGGAGATACTCTGGGTTCTGTGTCATGCTGGGGATGCATGTAGTAAGACAGAGTCCATTGAAGCAGAAAAAGGACAACTGGAAGATCAGGAACCTATAAATAGCCTTTCCCATAATGTTTGGGAACACTGTGAATCTTGGAAGGAAGGACAGATACATTTGGTGATGATAAATAAATGGTGCATGGGTTAAAATGGAGGAAATCCTGAGCATCTGAGCCTTAGAAATCTGGTGGATCATGAGGCTGTCATCAGGTGTATGTGTGCATTAGTAATTAGCCTTTTACAGCTAGATTTGGATGATCCGACTGAGCCTGTGGAGTGGAGCCCATGGGTATTAGGTATCACAGGGATAAGAGCCTGGAGCCTATCAGCAAGGATTACTCTTGGCCCTGGTGAAAACAGCCCATTTTCTAGTCTCGCTATTAGGCTATGTAAAAGTGGGTAGAACCACTTTTCAAGATTTGTTAGAAGAGAAATCAGAATGGTTCTTATGCAGACAATGCCAGAGCAAAAACATGGTTGGACAGAGCTTTCTACTTTGAACACAGTCAAACTAAAACAAACATAAGAGAATTGTAAGTATGGTGAATAGCCCAAACCACACATAAAAACCTTATGCATACATTGCAAAGAGAAAAGAGAGAAAGAACTTCATATACCATACACAGTCTAAAAGAAAGCCTTTGAAAGCATATTCCTTTTGCTATACTCTGTAGCATAGTTTAGTAACTCATAGTTACTAAACTATGAGTTACTAAAACTGGGGCTCAATGATTGGACAATTAAAGAGCAGAATAGGTTGGAAAAGAATGGATAAAATAAAAGCAACATTTGGAACCAAAACAACACCATTACACATCTAAAGAATGACCTGATAACGTGGAGACAGCAGGGAATTGAAGAATCTAAAATAGAGCTTAAGAAATGGAGTAAAAATTTAAGATAATTGCAGTGAATACAGAGGAAAACAACCAAAGGAAAAAAATTTCTCAAGGAAGTGTTTCTATTTTTTATTTTGTTTTTCTCCATAAAGAAGAAGCCAACTTTACAGTCACATAATTATTTGTATTTGTTTTTGCAAGCCTTGAACAGAATAGAAAAGATGGAGAAGGTGTAGCCCTTTGCTAAAGTGAGTTGAAATGCCAGTACTTCTAGAAATGGCTTTTCAATACAGTGATGGGATTGTTTTAAATCTCCCTAGTTTTATAAGGGAAAATAGTAATTCCCGTACTACTGCAGGCCCACAAAATTCTCCTCAACCCAAATTTTGGTTAACAGTGTGAAGCAGTTCCTTCCTATTTCACAATATTTTTTATACACTTTGCTTCTTATTTGCACATTTGGTTATCTCACACCAGAGAAATGATGCAGAAATTATTCAGAAGAAAGAAGATCTAAGGACGAGAGGAGTAAGGAAGGAAAGGGGAAAAGAACTAAAAAAAAATAAAAAAAGAGTCCATGGCCTTAAATGAAATCACTTGGGCACAAATGTTTAAATATCACATTGTTTCTCTAGTGGGAGAAACTGAAAGAGTAAATAAATACCAAAATACATAACAGATACCGGGAAATAGGAAGGGTAGCAGGATGGTGAGTGAGACTCATTTTGGAATTTAACTAAAATTTCAAAACAGACATGTTGTGACCTCTATTGTTATATTGTTATGTCCTGTTTTATCTCAATCTCCCCCTTATTGTTTCAAAAAAAATTATTTAGTCATTTCTTATGTTTGTCTTAAAGAAAAAATTCAAAAAAATTAGGATATATAAATAGTAACTCTTTTCGATTTCCTATTAACTTGTTTTGAAGTCCTGTAGTACTCCCACGATCTTGTTTTGACTGATTAGACTCTGTTCCATTCTATATGATAGTATCAAGTTTGAAGACATAGGCAACTACTTTGAAGACAATAAGATTCACTAAGATACCCATTCTGGTTTGACTATTGTCTTCTTTGGAAGTCCTGTAATGTTTACAATGCCTAAGTTTTATTGGTCTTGTTCTCTACTGTTTTGTCCAACTTTATAATATCTAATGAGATAGACAATTCTTTTTAAGGAAACAAGAGACAATGTTGATAACCATTGTTGATAACCTTGTACTCTGTTCTACACCATGTGCTATGTCTATCCTTGGTTTTGACTGACAGCTTTGTTTTGCCATATTTGACTGTATTCTCCCCCCCCCCCAAGAAAGTAATAAGCACTAAGGAGTAATAAAATCCAAGATGTGTAAAAAACAACAACAACAACAACAACAACAACAAAAACAAAACAGAAAATCAAGAATGTCCACATTCTACAGAGAGCTATTATTACATCTTGTCAACTTTCCTTTTGTGTCTCTTTGTATGGTAATGTAGGCAAAGTTATTTTTAAGTACAAAAAAATGAAAATAAATTAAATGAAGAGTGTGTTGAATTGGTTCCGATAGTCCAACTATGACCTCAAACTGATATAAACAAAAGTTAAGGGCGTGAGGATATTCACTGTGTTGTCTTGGCCGAGAAGGAGTCCTATGACTCCCCCCAACCCCCACAGTTATGTGCTCGCAAACCAAGAAAAATAGGGCTCAAGAGAATAGCTCATAGGATTTGGGGGTGACCTGAAGAGGTAGATTTAGTCCCTAACCCTGGACTGGTTTCTCACAGCAGCCTCGGTGAAAAAAATGCAAGGCAGAGCGGGAGGGGCAAGCGAGGGGCGTGCGCACCTGTTATTTAGGGAACCAAGACCTGGGCGGTTATGTTAGGGTAGCAGTGCAAGCCAGGTGTCCTTGCCCAGCAGGGATGCCGTGGGAGGCAAGCCCCGGGCCAAAGCAGGTGTTCCACATGAGAAGGCTGTCCTGGAAAACCCTGGGAACCACCTGTGCGTTCCTCTAGAGAAGGAGCTCATTGCCTGGAAAATGGCGTGGGTTAAGGAAGGAATCCGAGTGCTGAAGGAGGATTACAGTGTTTCAGCCCTTCGCTCTAATCCTACCTCTGCTTCAGCAAAGGAAAAGCTAGAACTGGAAAAAGAAGGCAGTGAAGGGAACAACATGCAATGTATTAACCACTGTTAATCTAGTATTTTATTTTCAAATTCTATATCATTGTTTTTATTCTTTTTTTTTTTTGTTAAAAAGAAGACAGAAGGAGAAACACAAGGAGCCTTAGTTAAGAGAAGAAAGTGTTTATTGGATATGAAATTGAGGTTTTAAACATAGGCAGGATTGGAAAGTTGAATAGCTCAAAATGCCCAAAAAGCATTATAGACTCTGGCTCAGATGTTTCTAAAGAAGAGCAGAATATAAGATAGATGATAGAAGACAGGGAGATAGAGGTTATGGGATGGGAAGGGGTCTAGGGTTGGGGAGAGAGGAGAGGAGGAGGAGGAGGGTTAGTCTAAAGGATCACGGTACCATATCTGTATGCACCTGTTCCCACCCAGGAAGTGTTCCTTATGCATCACAAACATATATAATAAAAACACTAAAAAGAGAGGAAGGAAAGAGAGATTTAAAATGGTGGTTATTGAAGATGATAAAACTTTCTCATGTTGGGCCTTCCCTGAATTCAGATTGCTCAGTTAATCTGTCCATTCTTGGAGACCAAAAAGTGATGTCATAGGCATTGTATAGGCAGCTAATTTTATTTATCTTTGGGGATGATTGACACATTTATGGTTAGAAACCGTATGAGTTTTTATTAATAATCTAAATTGAGTTAGGCCTCAGGACACAGATGATTGACGATATAATGGTTATTACCCAGGAAGCTTTTAACAACTTCTTTAATCCTGATGACTGTCTTTGAAATGAGGTTGGTAAATTTTACTCATAACACCCTTAGAATTATCACATCCCCCAGTGTTTCTAAACCAAATTAACTCAGATGTCAAGCTCCCATTTCTCAAGGATGTGAGGAGGTAAGTATCTGTCATATTTTGCAACTTTGGTCCACATTCCAGAATTTAAAAATCTTGCATGCAGATTTTAGAGAAATCTCTAAGTTTTTGTTCATATCAGTCACCTTAGACATATTAAAGGTCTCAAGCTCAGTGTCTTTCAATAAAGGATGGTTGTTATGCTTCTGGACTGACAGAATATATCTGCAAAGTCAGAGAATGACCCAGCATCTGCTGTAAAATCATTCCACTATAAATGAAAGATAGATGCTTGTGAAAACATTAAGGCCTAAAATATAAACTTCTCCAAGAAAACTGTGGCCCTTTTGAGTAGCAGAGTATAAAATTAAGATTTCAAAAATGATACAATGCAAAAGTTATTTTTGATTTTTTAAATGCTACAATCAGTGTCTATGTGACTTCTGATATACACAGACAATTTTTAAAAGGTACAAATAAATTTGGTATTTTACATTTGTATGCTATTGTTAAAAGATACTTTTTGCCTTTTAGTTGTTTCAGAAACCTTTGAAACATTATTAAGATAATAACCTAAATCACAAATCAATGATTAGTGTGTGATGAAAATGGCAATAAAATTATATGTCTGAATTCTTTAGCAGTAACCTTACTAAGCTTTTTGAAGAGATGAGTTGAAAACCTGCTATAGGTTTCAATTTGTTCACAATGTTGTGTAGAAAAATTTCAGTGATTCTGAACATTTTCCTGAATTTTAAATACAAAATGCAAGTTACTGTTGGTAAGCTGATGCCAGTGTCACTGTGTCATTGCAATTCTGCTTCAGAGCAGAGTTGGGGAGCGCTTGGAAGAGTGTGTGTGTGTGTGTGTGTGTGTGTGTCTGAAGCAAGAGCAAACTGCTGAAAATGTTTCTGTAATATTTTCTTTATGATCCCAGGGCTGTGTGCACACAGAGAAAATGCCACATGAGAAGCCAGGGAGGAGATGGCCATCTGTGAACAGAGAGGGCTGCAGGAGAAACCAAATCTCTAGTGCCTTCATCATGCACTCTGTCCTCTGGAAGAGGGGAAGAGGAAATTCAGCTGTGTGAGGCAGAAAAGGATTTTCTTCTCTGAGATGCAGCAGGGTGGGGGCCTGTTAGGCATCATTGGCCTGGCGATATTTCCTGGTGTCCTCATTTTCCAGCGCGGCTGGTAGAAGTGGAGAGTGGGTCCCAGCCCTGCAGTGCCTTCTGCTACCCGCTGCAGGGGTCTTTCCGCGTCCTCTCCCTCCATAGAGCTGCCATGCGCTCTTCTCCAGGGAACAGCTGTCCTGTTCTCAGATAGATGATGTTGAAGCTGTTAGTTTTTTCTTACAAATTCACCACTTTGCATCAGCAGCCCTTCTGGAATTCTCTACCAATGCAAGAATGTGGAAAACAAAGTGGAAGGGAAGGGAAACAATGGCAGCGTGAGGAACAAGAAAGAAAAAGATGGATCATGCAAGCCCGGAAATGCAGCGGTGGCAGAGTGACACCAGAAGTCACTTTCCATTTCTCCTGGAGGAACTGGCCTTTCTGGGCCGCCCTGCTCTGTGGTTTTCTGGTTTCTATAATTGAATGGATGTAATTAAATGGATATATGAATGGCATTGCTTATGATTATATAACAGTCCAAGCCGCTCAGTGTTGTGTGAAAGTGAATGAGCCCCACATTTTAGTAAGTTGTGAGCCTGCTTTGGCAGCTGTTGTACTGTGATAAATGATTGGAGAATTAATTAATTGAAGAGGTTATGATACTATTAAAATATATTTCTGCCAAGCAGCAATAGCGAAAATTCATTGTTAGTCAATGCGTGTTCACTATTCATTAACGAGATTTTTCCCCTTCTAGTATTATATGTATTCTTTTTGGAACACATCTCTATTAGATTGTGTATTAAAAATGTATTTATGGGACTGGGCACCAACTTTTATCTTCTCATAAAGGACGCTACTTTTATGAAAGAGGTCAACATCTCCTTGTTTCAAAGCTGCTTTTTTTTCCCCTCTCATGCTGTTTCATTTCCCCTCAGTAAATTTTAAGGAAGATTTTTCTTTGTATAGTTTTTGTTTTTGTGAAATATTCCTATTAAATAATATTTCATCAAGGGTGTTCTCCCTCCCCTCCCCTCCCTTCCCCTTCCCTCCCCTCCCCTCCCTTCCCTTCCCCTCCCCTCCCCTCCCCTCCCCTCCCCTCCCCTCCCCTCCCCTCCCCTCCCTTCCCCTCCTCTCCTCCATCTTTTTTTCTTTTGTTTCATGGTGGTGGTAAAATTGAAACCAAGGCCTTCACACTGAGCCACATCCCTAACCTTTTAAAAATTTTTATTTTGAGATCAGGTCTTCAGAGTTGGTAAATTGCCCAGACTAGGCAGGAACTTGTGATTTTTCTATCTCAATCTCTCAGAGTTCTGGGGTGATAGGAGTGTGCCACAATCAAGTATGTTTTAAATAGTCACATGTGCTCACTTGTCTTCTGAGTATCTGGAAATTATACCAAAAAAACTTGATACCAAAGAAAGGAATTTATGTTATAACAAGTGGCATTCTTAGATGATGACACTGAGGTCACTTAAGGTAGTTTGGGTGACTTAGGTGACACCTATGGTTTCCCCATCATCCACTCAGAGCAAGCGCACCCGTGTTTAGCATCCTGTGGGGCTGGCTGTTTCCTTCGTCAGGAGAGGCTGTACCTGAGACACAATTTCTGGGTGGGTGAAGGCACAGCTTACTTTCCCCAGGGAATTCCTATAAGCTACAGGACAGTGGGGTACAGTCCTTCCCCTGGAAGGAGAAGGCATGAAACACATAGAGCAGAGCATCTTGATCTTTATTTGCTTCTCTGTAGGCTGATGCCAAGATGGGGCCTGGCATAGTCTCTTTTCTGACCATTGTCTCACAGGTCTCCCCAGTAGTCCTGTGTGGCTCTGTGGAACCCACAGATCTACCTTGTAAGACGGAACCAATCGCTGATTCTTGAGAGCTATGACCCGAGGTCCTTCTCCACTTTTCTGGATTCTTGGAGGAGTAATTTCTTCTGTGCATCAAGGCTTTCATCAGGTCATGGTGGTTCTATTGTCCACCCATCTCAGTTCTGAGGACAGCCAGGGATTGTTGGAAGACGGACAATGTTTTTGTTCAGTGGTGCCCACTGCCCTTGACACTTCTAGAAAGAGTAAAATTATTCTGGGTAAAATTAATTGATAAAAAAATGTAAAGATGAACTAATTTTAGTGATCAAGGGAATCAGAATGAAAATATATATGTTTTCACTTAAAATAGACTTCCTATTACATTGGGATAGGAGAAAATGATATTCTTTAAAATATGTTAAGTGGCTAGACCGTCCAGTGACACATGCATAGATTTCGTGCGTAGCTTTGTTCTACTATAGGGTCACTACTCAGCTGCCATTCGACCTCTAAAAAACAGTGATAATATAAACAAGATTGCCCATAAAACACTTTTGAGATTTTTTTCACCTTTCCTTAATACTCTGGCCCAGAAGAATTAGTGGCCTGCGTAAATGCTTTGTTTTGTAGACTCAAACTTTCCTGTGGTAGTTCATAGGGTTAGATTTGGAGACTGGGGAGTTTTCAGACCTATTTGGCTCTCTTACGAAGTTGTATCTTTCAAGTCATTTGTTATTAGTGGCAAAGATGATATTTTGGACTTTCACGTACCTCACATATGTGTCTGTTTTTTAATCAGTTCAGAGCTTGGGAAAAGAATGGCACAGATTGGGCCTCCTTGGATTCTAGCATCTCCAGCATCTTCTCTGCTGGCAGCTGTTGGAATCATTAAAGATTACATGTAGTGCTGCTCCATTGATTGTTGGATGTGCTCTTGGTTAAACAAAAAAGGGGCACCACATTCCAAAGGCTTCAAAATAAGCATTTGGATCTGGAAACTTCAAGATGGTGCTCCACTAGAGAAATCTTCCTTCCAAGCCCAAGAAACAAGTCAACAGATCTTCTTTTCTAGTGCAGATTCTTTGCCTAGCCCCATCCTCACCGTGGCTTGGCTGTCTAGCTGGAATTAGATTGCTACAGTCTGTGAAGTCTGCAGTCATAGGTATTTCATGGCCAATTAGCTTAACTTTCTCCTGGCTGTTGGGGAATGCTTAAATGGCTTCAGAGGTCTCTACGGTGATGGATCATATTTTAAAGAAGTAATCAAGCATTAAAATTCTAACACTTAGAAGTCTAAGCTAAAATTCTATGACTTTACAAACATAATATAAATACATTTATTGAAATTACTGAGTTGGTTTGTTGGGCCTACAGTTCAAGCAGAAGAATCTTCATAGTTCCCTGAACAATAAAGTGAATTCTGGTTAAAATGGTATTGTTGAAAATATACAGCTGCTTAGAATTAAATCCTGTATGAAGCTAAGTCCATAGTAGTCTGGACATGGCTTCCTTGTGCATTGCTATGCCTCTGTGGGTCTGTTTGATGATTGCATTGTGAATTTTAGGAAATGTTCTTTGCTGATGTTATAGACAGCATAAATAAGAAAAACTCTTTTTAAAAAAATTACAGCAAAAGTATATAACTTGTAAATTTAAGCCTATGTGAATCAAACTATTCCTTTGATGGCCATGAGTTGTCAATGAGTTCATTTCATTGTAATGCTTTAGAGGTACAGGTAAAGTCGCTTTATGACAAACTGATGGTTTTCCTTGTGGGTGAATTTGTTATTATATTTGACTATACTGCTAGAGATGATATTGCCTGTCTAAAGGAAATGTGGATGGATTAGATTTGTCTAGGTTTTCTGTGGAGGATTAACAAATGTAAGAATGTGATTTGAGCATGGTAAATGGAAAGAATGATCCCCCTTCTCCATTCTCATATGCCATTTCAGTGCCAGAGGAATTCCATCCTAAGCCTTGAGACTTCTTAAGTATTATTTATATTCTCTTCCCATTTTACTTTTATTCTTTTTTTCTCAGATATGCTCATTTTCTTTTCTTCCTGATATGAATGACTTTTATCTGTAGCTCTCCTGTGCCACATCATGTTTTTTGAGACTGTGACTTCATGAAAGGAAGAATGGCATTGTACTTGCATGAGGATACTTGCATGGGATAGAGCCCAATAAGTATTTATTAACTAAATAAATGAGCTATTAGTATGCGAGTACACAGTAATTTTGTTATGTGGAGACTTCTTAGCACTGTATTATCTGCCTTTTTATTTTGTTACAGAAGACTACTTTGTGTATATTTGAAAGCAGAACAACTTTATCCTGATTTTCTTTCCTCTTCAACAGAATAGGTTTAATTGCAAAATACGCTTCTTTGCAAGTTCCGGTGCTGATTCATTGCTTTTCATTATTGTACTGGCATCTAACTGTGCATGCTTCGTCGCCCAAGCCTTCACCACTAATGAAGAAATACTTGAGAACAGTAGGATGGGCCGTGTGCTCTATCTTGTCTACTAACTGGAAAAAAAGTGACTCCTGCTTCCTGAATGTCTGCTAGCATTATTTGCCTTGTATTACCCGACTTGGGTTTAATATGGATATAGCTATGTATTTATATCCTCTGAAGGTCCTTGATAAGTGTTTTCTATACAGAATACAACTTCTATGTCTAAGAAATGTTTGAGCTTAATATTTATTGAATAAACTCATGTCTTGGCTGAACAAGTGAGTGAAATAGAGGTAGGATCTGCTCCAGACAAAGGAATGTGGTTTGTCATTCTTGAGAGCTGTGGAATTCCCAGCAACATATGACCAGGATGTAATCGATTTGCAAACCCAGCATAGGCATGTTTGCAGCCTGGAGAGAAGGACACACTCACACACGATACACTCCTACCCTTGGTGAGCACCCTGTAGGAGTTACACCATGCCACAGTACTTTCTTTGCAACTTTGATTTTCTAGAATTCCTCCTTCCATAACCTTGGAAATGAGGAGCATCAATGATATGAAAAGAATTAAGGAACATGCTTGTCACTGGAGTTAAGAACAAGCTAATTTACTAAGTCTTTGCACATGCGTAATTCTTGGAAGAAGTGATTGTCTCTTGGGTCTTGCTTCCTTTTTTTGTATCTCCTGATGCAGACATCCAGGAGAAAGGGAAAGGATACATAGCTATATCCATATTATACCCAATTCCTAGTCTAAGGAAAGTATAATTCAGATGTGGGAAGAACCATTTTGACATTTTAGTATCTCCCTTTATTAGCAAACTGACATTTTAGTGCATAAATAAACTTGGGGTTTCCAAGTATCTGATTTTTTAACTAAAAATACTGATCTTGAGCTTCCTGTCAGGAAACATGCTGAGGAAATGTCAGATGCATAAATGGCTAGTACTTCCCCATTAACACTGTTTTCTTATTACCATGTTATGCTGTAACCTGCATGTATTTCTGCACATCCCCAGGTCTGAAAAATGTTCCACAAAGAAGCCACCACTGGGCTAAGGGACTCTGAGTCTTAAAAGTTCTCTGTGGAATGATGCATACCAAATAGGCAAGTCATGCAGAAATGCTGAGTGTTTTCCTCTTATTTATGCTTGATTTGAGCATTGCCGTTCTTTGCCTAGGGTTTGTATTTCTGCTACATCAAAATGATCTTGTAGGTAAAGGATAGTTGGAAACTTTATCAAAAACCCTGGCCACTTTAATCAATAATTTAAAGAATTAATTTAGTACTAAAATTCCTTAGAGAAAATATATGATAAATTTTTCAGCATAAAATCTACATTTCCTCTGTGGAAAGGCTGTTTTCCAGTAAATGCAGGTAATAAATTTATCTCTGAAGGCACAAATGTGTACACAAGAACTCTTAAACATCTGGTGAAGTAGTTTTCTTGACAAAAGCCAAGATACAGTGCTTTTGAGGTTGGTAAACCATGAGAAATTTCTTTTTCAGATGTAATTAAAATGTTTTTGTGGTTACAGGAGAAAAATGAAATTCAAATTTTGTTGATTATCCAACGTTTAAACAAAAATATTGCGAGTGTGTTAAGAACTCATTAATCTAATTT